GGCCAGTGGTAGCATTCGGGTTCCCCTGGGCTCCTGTGGGAATGAGGAATGTGGAAATGGATTCATGTGTAAGGGGGAAAGGGAAGCAAGGGCCAGTAGCTGTAATGCTGGGTGTGCAGAGATGAGCCCGAAGTGTGTTCACGTGCTCAGTAAAGAAGGACAGATGCAGGTATTGAAGAGAAGACCGCTCATCACCGGGAGGAACAAACCACTTTTTTTATTTTGGAAGATTGGGCACCCAACGGATATGCCGCTATGGGAATGTCATCCTAAAGACCAAGATGGCAGCAAATGTTTCAGGGCATGTGTGACATTCTGATAGAAGCCACGGGCGTGGGCCAATCCCGTGTGTCAGAACACGAGGAACGCCCCTGGGGACCTGTGATGGCTCAGTCCCTTTCCTCACGGGATGGTTCCTGGTGGGACGACACGTGTTTCCAGGTCTTTGCACTATTTGGTGAGCACTATGCCCGTGCAGGGCAGTGGGTGTGATTAACATGCTGCAGGGGATCCGCGAAGGCTTTGGCTAAGAGGTAACACTGAGCTGTGTCCCAGAAGACACACAGGCAGCGCTCATGGGCTCAGCACCTTTCTGGTTGAAGAACAGAGTATGACAAAGGTACAGAGATGTGAGAGGTCACAGGAGGTTCGAGGACATGCAATAGGTTTGTTATCTTAGGCGAGTCCCTTAGCCAGGGGCCTCTCAAGCCAGAGAGGGAGGCCGGGCTCACACCTAGAAGGGCAGCAGCTTGAACTTGGACATACTGCCCACTTGTTCCCTTAAAACTATGTATCTAGTGGTTATAGTTCTGCATAATACCTGCATGCATAATTCCGAGATGCGGACCCATAGCCTTTGTTATACTCATAAAGGGGTTACAGACATCTCAAAATTCAAGGCCCTCTGCAGAGAGCGAGGGGCCCAAGTCTGAACCACGAAAGGTGAATCTCGGCCCCTCCCTGGACTTATGTGGGGCTTCTGATAGTTCTTCTTTCTTCCCCGTGGTGGCTTGCCACCCTGAGAGCCAACCTGATAAGGTCAGGCCAGGCAGAGGGAAGTGCCTGCAAGGTGCTCATCAGAGAAGTGGCAAGGAAAGCGGGGTGGGGAGGGCAGCTCTGCCTCCAGAAGGGGCAAAGGGGACATGTGCCTGGGCCGCAGACGCCCTGCAGGCTCTCGGGGACAGGGCGCCGGCACCGTCCCCGCCCTCCCTCCCCCTGCACAAATGTGATTAGGACCCTGCAGCACAGCCCAAATCAGGTTAGCGTCAATGAGCTGAGCCGGTGTAATCAGACCCCGGAGTAGAGCAGGTGCTGGGCTTGAAAGAGGCTTTTGAGAATTAGAACAAGCTGACGGCCACTGTCTAGAACACAGCACGCAGGGCCAGTCGGGCATGTCCTAGCTGCCAGGAAGAGGGGCCGCTGGCCTGGCCCAGGGCCCTGGGTTCTTTCCTTAACTAGCAAAACAAGAGTTCATCACACTGGGGTTCATATGATGGTCTGCTCCCCGCCCCTGCCCCCGTGTGTCCTTGACCCACCCACAGGGTCTCACTCAAGTCAAATGCAAAGTCCGGATTATAAGAATATCCAGCTCATCCAGCTGTTGTGGCGGCCAAACAGAGTCTGCAAAGCCCCGGGCCCGGGCATGGTCCGGGCTCAGAACACATCACCGGCTCTGCTCTCCACTGAGCCTGCGCCCAGGATGACGAGGCAGGATTTTAGTTTTTACAGAAATGCTCTGTGCTCAATGTGAAAACATCGAGAATGGAGGTTTATATGATGAGATCCAAAAATCTCATCTTAAGAGATGAGCCGTATTAATATTTGGTGAACATCATCCTAGATACTCTCCTGTGCACACATTCATAGGTAGAAAATAATTTCAACAAGAGGATATTTAATATATGTGTTGTCTTTAAAACACAAGTTATTGCCTTTATTTCAATTAGAATTGGAGGAAAATCAAAGGAAATTGAAGGAATTGCTGAATAATAAATAGGTCATTCCTAAGAGATTCTTAAAATGGGGAAAATAAACTATAAGCCAATATTAAGATGGTTGAGGTATTCTGTAGTTTTTTATATACTTTTTTTGCTATTCTTTTAATGACTTAGGAAAAGCATTCTAAGAGTCTTAGGCTCTACCTACCAAGCCAAGCGACTTTGATGAAGCATGTTACTATTCAGTTATAAATCAGGAAGAAATTGCAAGTACCGGAGAAAAATCGCATACTCACTTGGAGTCCTACTAAGTGAGTCATCTTGTCAGAATGAACCAATGCAGAGGGTGCATGAGGCTGGCGAGGGGGAGGCATGCACAGCGGGGTTGGGGGGCAGGGGGCTAAGAGCATCGAGGACGCTGAGGTATGGAGCATCTAGACCCGGTGGGACCTAGTAGGCTGGGCATTTGTGCCGTGAGTGGGAAAACAGAAGCCCGGCTAGCTGCTAACCTCCAACCCAGGGATTTATGCCCCAAGTGCTGTGTGACTTTCATGTGGGTGTATTCATCATGTGTTTGTGTTTCTGTATCTCTGTTGTCTGTATGTTTGACATCTTGGTGGCCTCGCTGACCCTGGAGGGACCGCTCCTCCCAGGAGCAGCTGATTCGAGAGATGGTAAAGGATTATCTTTCCCCAAACCAGCCAATCCAGAGCCTATACCCCCAACCACCCTCTATGGGGCTCCTGCACTCCAGGCCAATAGCCCCTGCCCTCATCACCTCACAGCCAGGGACACTAGGGACAGCCCCCTCTGCCCCAAAGCCCTTTGAAATTATTCAAACCAGCCAACCCTCAGTCTGCTCGCCCTACAACCTGCTGTTTCCCGTGGAAACCACCGTAAAGGCTCTGGCCTTTGCTGGCCGCCTCCCTCGGCCTCCTGACTGTGCTTCCCCATGTGGTCCCCCCATGGCATAGCATGCCCCGCCTCTTGGGAATGGCCAGTAAGACAAGCTGTCTTTCCAATGGCAGTAAGCTCCCAATCTGGTGGCTTTGCTATACCTGAATAATAGTAAAAAAATAGTAAAAAAAAAAAAAAAAAAAAAAAAAAAAAAAAAAAAAAAAAAAAAAGAGAAATAGTAAAAAAAAAAAGAAAAATAGTAAAACTAATAATAAAAAGTACTTGAATAAAAAGTAAAAAATAGTAAAAAAATAATAGTAAAATAGTAGAAAAATAGTAAAAAAAGTAAAAAAAGTTCTTAGAAAATAGTTTAAAAAATCGAGAAAAGTAAAAATCCTAAAAAAGTAAAAAAATAGAAAAAATAAAATAGTAAAAAAATAGAGAAATAGTAAAAAAATAGAAAATAGTAAAAATAATAGTAAAAATAGTACAAAAATAGTACTTGAATAAAAAGTAAAAAATATTAAAAAATAATAGCAAAATAGTAGAAAAATAGTAAAAATAGTAAAAAAATGGTAAAAAAAGTACTTAGAAAATAGTTTTAAAAATAGTAAAAAACAGTAAAATAGTAGAAAAATAGTAAAAATAATTTAAAAATAGTAAAAAATGTACTTAGAAAATAGTTTTTAAAAAATAGAGAAAAGTAAAAATCGTAAAAAAATAGAAAAAAGAAAATAGTAAAAAATAGAAAAATAGTAAAAATAATAGTAAAAAATAGTAAAAAAATAGTACTTGAATAAAAAGTAAAAATATTAAAAAATAGTAAAATAGAAAAATAGTAAAAATAGTTTAAAAATAGTAAAACCAAGTAAAAAAATACTTAGAAAATAGTTTAATATAAAAAAGTAAAAATAGTAAAAAAAATAGTAATTTCAAACACTCTGCTCCTGCCCCCTCGGGGGCCCAACTCCCCTGGGCACACCCCATTGCTACAGGGAGTCCTGCCGGAGTCTGGCCAGGACCTGCTTTGGAATCACTCTCTGCCCCTGGGCAGGGGACAACACCGGTCCCCGGGGAAGCTGCCTTCTCACCCAGGTGACTGTGTGAGCCGAGAGCCAGGGCTTGTCAGCTGAGCCGTACACGGGGCAGGCATGATGCCGCCCTGGCAAGAGCGCTTTGACTTTGAGAGGTGTGCTGGGGTCTCCGGTCAAACGCAGGTGGTCCTCCCACCAGGTTCTGGAGTTTACTAGACTGCGTGGGTCCCTGACCTTTTCTTCATCTCTATTCTTAGGGCACGTAGCGCTGCCGGGGCCTTCGTGGGGGCTCCATAAAGAACTGAATCGAATTTTCCACCCAGACAGAAGGAAAATTCACACTCTTGTCAGATTGAGGGAGAAATGGAAATGTCATTATCCAGAGGGTGCTGGCCTCGTAAATCAATTAGGCTCTTCGGTTTTGTAAACATAATGTGCTTTTTGATCACTTGGAGGGAGTCTGAATTTAGCAAATGGGTCTCAGCACCGATTCCATGTGGGGCAAAGTGCATATTCCCAGCAACACGAAGAGTTGTGGAGCCTGGTTTCAAGAGCTTAAGGAGTCCAGGGGGAGAGACAGCCCCGTGTGTGGGGATGACATGGGTCAGATGGTACCCATGCTGTCACCGCCTTACAAAGTGCTCCGGGAGCAGGAGGGGCCCAGAAATCCGGGCCACGTTTCCCGCTTGTGTGACCAAGCATGCCCAACGCTGTCTGGAAACGCACCTCTAAAAATCGTTTCCAGTGTCCATAGGGCTTTCTCGTGAATCTCCTTGGAGAAAAGCTTCATCTCTCAAGGACTGAAGTTCCCTTGGGAGCTGTGCTGCTCGGAGGGAAGGGCAGCAGATGAGATCAAGGCGTCCTCCCTGCCCCTCGGCACACGGGGAGTCAGTCTTGTGCAAGTGCTGTTTCCAATGTCACAGCCTGGTTTTCTGTGGGCGGATGTTTCTCTTGAAGCTTCCATGCAAAGACTGCATCTGCATCCACAGACTCAGGTCTCCGGCTAGCAGACGCTGATCGAGCACTACCTCTGAGGCTCTGGGCTCGACCGGGGGCAGCCGTTGTGCGTGCGGAGGTTACAATAGTGACCAAAACATGGGGGCCTAAAAGAGGTCTGCTTTTTGCTCCCCAGGTGGTGGCTACGCTGGGGACCACGTCCTGCTGCTCATTTGACAATCTCCTAGAAGTGGGTCCTATCTGTGAGTATCTGATCGGATTTTCTTCTGGAAAATGCTCTCGGTCTATGAAGACTTTAGTGGACCTTCTTCTTTGGGCTCTCCTTCTTCATAATATTAATAATATAGGTCAAGTTCATATTATAATATCATAATATATTTAGATAGCATAAAACATAATATAATGGGATGTTCACATAATAATAACTTCATATTACGATGGTTTGCTAGACTCTTCTTCTATTTGCAATAGCATAAATCTCATTAGCTTGAAATCCACAAACGCAGAAATGTGGCCTAATTGGACCAGAGCTGAGCTTGGCTGAACCAACGTGCTATCGGTAAGAAAACACTCTCGCATACCGTGCAGCAGGGCCACAAGACTGCGGGGCCCCGTCACCCAACCCTAGAGAACAAAGTCAAACCCTTCGAGCAAGCCCCACGAGGCTCGTGCATCTGCAGGACGTGAGAGTTACCCATCTTTGAATGAAGCCTGACCGGTCTTCTTCAGCATTTCTGGAACGACTGAATGCAAATTACCTAATGCGATTAAGCAGATCCAAACCCTGGATTTCTCCGGAGAAAAACCTGCTTGCTGTGCTTTTCAGGGCCGCTCTCCCCCTCCCGCCTCCCTCACAGCACACGGGTGGTCTCCCCGGGGGGATGAGGAGTCAGAGAATCCCCAAGGTGGAACGCGATGTAAGGACTGTGTTTCCGAAGTTACCCCTTTGACACGCGGCTCTGGACACCCAGCAGGTCCGGGAGGGGTTTCTGTGACAGAGACCTTCTCTTGGGCAGGGGCACGGCTTCCTGACCCCCTTCCCCTGTCCTCGGGTCATACCCGCTGCCCCAGGAGCGCGGGGCTGCTCATCGGGACGGTCTGGGGTCCCATGGAGGCTGCTCAGGCCCTCAGATCACATCTCTGTGGCTTGTGCTGGACAGCACGCCCCCTGCGGGTACCGCTCCCCGCCCCCGGCCCGTGTGCGTTACCCCTGCCTCTCCTAACGGGGACCCACCTGTGCACACACCCAGTCAGCGTGGCTGGGCCCAACCTGGTCACAGCCCACCCGTGCAGCGGCCAAGCCTCACCACTTCAGGCTGTGGGCCCTCCCGTCCCAAGCTCCGCGTCCCCATCTGTAAGGTGCAGTGGTCGAATGTCAGTCCTTCCCTCACAGGGCTCTTTAGAGGGTGAGTTCCTGCACAGAAATCATGGAGGCCCAGGGTGGAGGCAGGCGTGCCAGGGACCGGCCGTGCCCAGGGGCTGTGGGCGTGGATGTGCCCGCTCACACAGGTTTCCCTGCGCCATGTGTGTCCGGCGGCAGATGTTTGTGTGAGCAGTGGGCTGAGGGTAGTGGTACAGAGCCTGGGGCTGGGACAAGGGACGCAACCGACTGGCTCAGGCCTGCGGCCATGGCGTTGGCCCCGTGAGCTGCGGACTCTGGTGTGCCAGGCCGAGCCCGCTGGGCACCCCTCTGGCTCAGATGTCAGGCTGGGAACTGGATGTCCCTGGCGGGGGCTGGCTGAGATCATGCCCGGGGCTCTCAGATTTATGGGGCCAGACCTCCTCGGCAGGGCAGAGCCCATGCGGCCCAGGAAGCTGACGGCCCAGGGACGGCAGCTGGTGCTCACAGCGCCCTGGGCCGTGGGGGGCCCAGCTCAGCCTGTCCCGCAGTCCTGGAGCATCCTCTGCTCCCCGGATCTGGGGGTCGTGGGAACTGTGAGCTCCGTGACGGTTTGGTGCTGAGCACAGAGGCTGTTCTGGGGCTCTCCAGGGCCAGAACCCTGCTGCTCCCTGCCACAGTGCATACATGCGGGTGATTTTGACAATTATATTTACTACTGATGACGCTGTTACTGAGTGTCAGTAATACCAGCACCTTTCTGTTTCCTCCCCCTGCTCTGACACCATCTCCCTGACTGTCACCAGATACTTAGCATTCACCCAGGGCTGCTCTGGGATCCCGGGCTGGCCTCGTTCTGTGGTATGATTGGAATAAACCACTAAAACAATTCATTCATCCACTGTGATTTGACAAAGACGGTATGTGTCAGAAGATCGTTTTCCCCAAACCGCTGCTTTAGGAAAGACCTTTTCTTCTTGGTTCCTTTTAAAATGACTCGCCAGAGAGAGACTCGGACTCACGTGGCCCACTTGGCTGGATCAGTGGAGGTGTCCAGCAGGTTTTTTACTGGGGAGAGGAGGTGCAGAAAGCAGGGAGTTGCAGGTGATGGGTGGGAGGTGTGACAGTGGGGAGCGGGGGTGGGGTCCAAGGGAGTGCAGAAGGGGAGCAGGGTTCACAGGGCAGCCAAAGCCCTGCCCAGGGGCACCGGGATGGTGTGGGGGGTACTCCTGATGACACGGGAAGGCTAGAGGGATCCCAGTCCCTCAGAGACTGTGCTCACTTCCAACACCTTTCAAAACCACCCTCAGGTTCAATAATCCGTCAGAAAGACTTAGAGAACTCCCTGAAAGCCTCTCATGGGCATGGTTTGTTGCAGGGAGGAGAGGTGCAGGCCACATGTGGGAAGGGACCAAACTCTTGTCTCCTCCCTCGAAATTGTGTGGATGGCTAGCTCCCCCCGAGTTATGATGACAACACACACAGAGTGGGACACCCCCTGCCACGGAAGCTCCCCGAGCCTGTAGCACCAGAGTCTGGGGCTCAGTCACACACCACCCACTTGGCTCTCCTGCGTCTCCAGCTCCTCGGGGGGGGTCCAGTAATCCCTCCGTCCCTACTTCCTGCAGAGGTCAGAATGAATACGGTGCAAAGGTGCCATCACAAATCATACTGATGCACCGTTTGGGGTCAAAGACCCAGGCGAGAAAGGACTCCTATCAGGCAGGGCACTCCAGGGGCTAGAGGCCACCTCCCTGGAGCTGAGGGCAAAGGTCAGTGCTCTTCTGGAGTAAAATTAAGTCCCCACCGCACACCTTCCCCTGGTGCATCTCCTTCCCTTCCCTCCTGGGTACCCCTCCCTGTCTTCCCTCCCCACTGCCCCTCTCCGGGTTTCCCATACATTCCGGGATGGGTTGTGGTTTTTACTCTTAACAAACATTCCTCTCACAAGGATGATGGCTGAGTGAGGAAAAGAGAGCCCTGTCTGCAGCTTCTGGAACCTGCTCCCCTTGCTCCTGCCTTCATGGCTTACATCCTTCCTGACTCGCCTGCCTGTGCAGGCCCCCCGGGGTCCTGCTCTGCCTCACCCCTTCCCTTGACAGTTCTGAACCAGACAGAGACATTGGAGCCCCAGACTCCTCCGATGTGCCTCTAACAGAAAATGAAGTTTCCTGACCGGCGGCCCCATAGAGAGGACAGCCTGGATCTGTGGTTTGCTGTCTGTCCTCGAAGTGCATCTGAGGTTTCTACCTGCTGCATGGCATCTGGAGCCCGAGCAGGAGAGCTCTACAGGGGTAGGACCATGGGCAGGGACATGCGTGGGTGAGCTGTGGTCTCGAAGCAGAAATCCCACATCATCCATAGGCTCTGTGCTTTCGCCAGCTCCCAGGTGCATCCGCGTGGGGCCCTGCGGTGCCCACACACCGTCTGCCATGAAACATGCTTCAGGGTGCTCAGACCCCAACCACACCCTGACCCTCCGGGGCCGTATTGCATGTGCTCAGAAGACATTTGGTCTGGATCCAACCAAGGGCTTTGATCCCTCCAATCCTGAAGTTCAAACAGAATCAAGGCTTTGAAACGACTTGTCACTCCTCACGGCATCCTGTGTGATTAGCGAGCATCACGCGTGGAAAGGTGGAGCTTGCATCTGTCAGTTGTCACAAATGCAGGTGCCAGGGGCTGACTGAGCCCTCCAGGTGCTTCCCTGACCCAGTTCGGGCAGGACAGGTCATCTGCTCCCCATCAAGATGTCCCAGCCTTTCGTGGTTATGGATTGGGTGATGGGCTGAGTGCCCAGAACACAGGGAGGGACTCATCACGATGCTCGCGTGTATTTCTCACAAACCTTGGACCTGGTCTTGTCTCCCTTAGGTTCCAGGTGCTATTTTTATGTCCATTTGCCTCTGAGGAAGAATGAGCTTGAAGGGACATAAGGCCATACAGCTGCTGGGTGCTTGGAGGCAGGGGATGAACCCAGAGAGTCTCAATTGAGGGAGCGCATTTAATTAGGACCCTCTTCCACCTGGCGAGGAAGACGTGGTCCCTTCCTGCCAGGCGATTCTGGCGAGGTTGGAAAACAGAAATCATATTCACCAAGGAGCCTAGGATGAGTGCAGGTAGCATAAAATCAACGAGTATGCTTTGTGTCCAGATGGTGTGGGGCAGGGGAGATAGAGGTCCCTCGGGCTGCGAACCCTGCCGTTCCCCAAGGAGTTTGTGGGGAAGGACATTAGGATGGGTTAGCCAGGAGAATCGGGAGCAAATCCCCAGTGGATGAGATGGAGAAAGGTGGTAAAACCGGAATGAGGTGTGTGTGAGGAGCCCCGAGGGATAGTGCACGCTGCCTCCTTAGGGCATGAGCATCGACCTTCAAATCAAGCAGGGCAGCGGATCCCATTTTCCTCATCTTCTACACAATCCCTGAGCACCTGGTCTGTGTTAGCTCTGTCTGGGGCCAGCTCATGACCTCTGCCCTCAGCTTCATTGCCTTCAGACCCAAGGAGCCTGTTAGGGTCCGGGACGGGGCCAAGAAATGCTGTTGATGGTCAGTATGCAGTAAGAGCACTGGATGGGATGAGGTGGTTGTCAGGCCGCCGTGAGCGGGGCATCCACTGGGGAGCTTACCAGTCACCTCTGGATTTCAGGCACCAAGGAGGACGTGTGGCTGCACATCGATGCTGCTTACGCGGGTAGCTCCTTCATCTGCCCCGAGTTCCGGCATCTTCTGAATGGAGTAGAGGTGGGTGTGCTCTTTATCTCTAATAAGATCCTTTTTTTTTTTTTAAAGATGTATGATTTCTTTATTTTGGCAGGGGAGGGGCAGAGGCAGAGGGGGAGAGAATCCACAAGCAGACTCCTCGCTAAGTGTGGAGCCTGATGGGGCTCCCTCTCACGGTCCTGAGATCATGATCTGAGCCGACACGCAGAGTCGGCCACTTAACCCACTGAGCCATCCAGGCGCCCCTCTCTTTAATAAGATCACTGTTTAAAAGTGTTATGTGATCAGTGACTTCCTACAAGGCTGTAGCATTCCATTTGTCACTGCTGTGGTTTGTTTCAGTAACTTCTTTTCAAACCAATTTTGTGATTATCAGAAATCAGATTTCCTTATAAGGGGGGTTGAGAATCTGCCAAGTCATACGACCTGTCTTCTGGAAGTACACCTGACGTTTGCAGCTCTTTTTCTGTCTGCACGAATCTTGGGCAGAGTTCTCATGGTAGGATAAATTTTAGCTTCTGAAACTGTGGGGAAATCTTTAGGAAGAAAGTAAAATCTTAATGCCTTTCAGATCAAGAGGTCATGGATAAATGCAACCTGCAATTTTATTTGATCTGGTTCAGTGTGATAGCATGGTCTGACCATGCCCCTGAGCAGGGTATTACTTTAACAGATATTGAACGAGCAGCCGTGGGTGCATTTAAATGTCCTATACCGCTTTCGGAATTTGGAAACCATGGCCTATAATGCCCATGGAAACACCTGCTGCTTTTGAGAAATAGTCATCAAAACTATCGATCAAATACTCTGCTTCCCCACAGGGCCACAGAGGGTAATGTGGTGCAGACTTAATGCAGAGAGAGGACACTATGGGGGTGCCCTGATGTGTCATTTCAGGCTCAAGTAGGATGTTCCTCCAGCCAGAACTTAGCTGCAGACCAATAAAGGGTCCAGAGAGACAGACTTTGCAGTGAGTCCAAGGGAAGGAGATAGTGAGTCAGGAGAGCCTCAGTCCTGGCTCTATGCCCAGAGGCAAGGGTTTCGTGAGACCCCGGGCCACAGGAGGTGCAGGGATTAAGGGCGTGGTCATTGGCATTTAGTGACTATTTGAAGGCTCTACCGGGGGACTAGCTGTGTCCCTGGGGGTAGGGTGGTGGCATCTCCAAACCTCACAAAGTGGATTTAGTAACAGTATCTCCTTTATCTCCTTCGAGGGGTTGCTGTAAGTATCCGGAGTTAATCATGTTTAAAGCACTTAAAAACAGTGTCAGGCACACAGTGAGTCCCGTGAATGAGCTGGATCCTTTTATTATCTTTCACCACGGCTGCAGAGCCTGTCCCTGAGAACCTCTCTCCGCTCTCCTGTCATGCTGCCAATTAATTTGCTAATTGCTAATTTGGATCCTCATTATGCCATAATACCAGAAAAGTGGGTGTCGGGTGTAGAATACAAATATTCCCATCTTCGGAAAGAATACCCCCTGGTTGCTGATGAATGAAGTAGCATTCCAGTTCATATCTTCATCACGTCTGTGCATCCATTCACTCACTCACTCTATAATCACTTATGGATGCCCGAATATGCTCCAGACCTCAGCTCAGTTCTGGGGAGGGGCTGACATGTGGGGCCTCCAAAGTCCCCCATAAATGTGAGGGAAGGGGTTGTGGTGGTGTGTGAGAAGTTCTGCTAAGCATGCTAGCACCCCACGTTGTGAAGTTCACTGCCAGTAGCTGGGTTTGTGGGTGTTATGAAAAAATAAATCTCTCTACCATATAAATGACTCCTGTCATTATACATTATACATTATACATTATACGTTATACAGAGATGATGCATATGACTGGGTCTCCCCCTGCACCTCAGGATGCAGGGCAAATCGTTCATCAGGGATTTGTGTGCCTGTCCCCAGGATCTGGTCTTTCTAAGTGTCAGGTTAAGGATTGCACAATCTTTTGCCACTATGACTCTCCTCCTCCCCGTGATCCCAGGCCCCGGGGTTTCGGCTTTCATAGGGGGTGACTGACTATCAGGCCACCGCAGCGCTGGGCACTGGAGCATGATGGTATCTGCAGCAGACAGGATTTTCATGCCTGACGCTGAGTCATTTCCATGTCTCCTGCATTGTTCCTTGCGGGGCAAGGGCCTTGCTGCTCAGCTGGTCTGATAAGGGGGCTGCAATATCCTGCCCCGTCCCTAGCCCAGAGATAAGAACTCTTTCTCTGCCAGCAGGAAAGAGCACACAGCAGTTGGGTAATGAAAGATGATTAAACACACCAACAGCCACCCCCGCCCCCCAGGGAGGGAGTTAATAAAATTCTCGGCAAACAAAACTCTTCTTTCACATTTTGTCTCCTTTTATCGACAAATGAAACGCGTTGTCATTTCCCGTCTCTTTCTCAAAATCGCTTTTATTGAAACGTGGAAGGAAATGAATCTGCTCCCCCCAGAGCGGGTTGACACGCGAGGTTGCCGTCAGTCGAGCAGATGTCTCCCCGGTGGCTGGTGGTGGGGCGCCCATCCATGGCTGCACCCCTGGGCCTCCAGCGGGACCCAGCTCCTATGCAGCATTCAGAGGATAAACCTGGACATGCATTTTGAAGAACGCAAGAATGCACCACTCAGGATAGCGCAGTGAAAATGCCCAGGGCCCTCCTCCGCCGGTCTCAGTCATTGAAATCCTATTTTCTGCTTGGAAATATGGCGGCCCCTCAAATCAATGGGCTAATGCCTGTTTTTGGCAGTTGCTTCCCATTGTCTTCCAGGAAGGGAGCCCGTTACTGATAGGTGTGCAATGAACTTGGATATGATCTTTAAAAATAAAGAAGAAAACATTTAGGTAATGTGGGAAGAGTTGTTGATGATTGCATTAGCGTTAGTAAAAGAGCCAACCCATTAAATAAAAATTGGGGTGATCCCAATTACCGTAGGTTAGGTATGACGTTTTCACCCTCCCACTGCTTAGGATGATATGTGTATTCTGAGAACTTTGCTAATTTGTGAGTTTTGAGGAAGGTGCCGGCAGAAAGTATTTCATAGGCCAGATCAGTACAATTTCCTACACAGTACACGTAAATTCAAATTCGGATTATTCCAAAGAGTCTAATAGTTTGAATGGTAGATACATGTTACGTGACTCCAGACTATGCAAATTTGAAAGCGTACGACCTAAAATATTGATGACGTCTCATTTTACGAGGAAAGGTAGAACTGTGAATTTTCCCAATTAAAAATGAGTAGGGGTGGGTTCTAGAGGGGAGGGGGGTGGGGGGATGGGTTAGCCTGGTGATGGGTATTAAAGAGGGCACGTTCTGCGTGGAGCACTGGGTGTTATATGCAAACAATGGATCATGGATCACTACATCAAAAACTAATGATGTGATGTATGGGGATTATCATAACATAATAAAAAAAATAAAGTAATAAAAAAAAATGAGTAGGGGCTCACATGGCTTCAGAGTAGGAGAGCCCCCAGAACCATGAGCCGTGTCCCTGTTGCTGCTGGGAGTAGGCATCTCCTCAACTCTCTTTGTCTTCTCTTGGGGTCGCCCTTGGATTGTGTGTTGGGGTTCCGCATGTTTTGAATTATCCAGGGTCCTCAAAATGCATCCCCTTGCTTTGAATGTGATAGCCCTACACCCAAATCAGGATTAGCCCAGAAATAAAAGGGAGTGTTAACAGGAAGTTTCTAGATTAGCTCATTCCAGTCCCTCATTTATAAATTCTCATAGAATCATCCCACCGAGGGCCCTCAGCCAGGCAGTGGGAACCCTAAGGTCAAAATCTGGGGCTCTTAGTCCAAAGCCTACGCCTCTTTCCATCGTAAAAAAACCGAGATTCTTCATTTCACTCTTCAGACGAACTTTCTGGACGTCTCCTAGGTGCCTGGCGTTGCATCCCAAGACTGCCAGGGGGCCAGGTGGCCTGCATGCTCAACTTCTGCGGGGTGACCCTCTGCAGGCACCTCCAGCCCAACCCAGAGAGTCTACCTCCTCCTCTGAGCAGCGACCCAATGCTCGTTTTCACACTGCATCCTGACGACTGCTCTCTGGTCCGATCTTCCCACTTCAGCACGAGCTGCTGGGAGTCAGTAGCCATTACTGTGGTCCCTGGGACCACCCCCCTCTCCCCTGATTGGCTTACCACCCGCAAATCTTAACCACCCCACATCAGCAATAGTCACGGCACAGCCTTCCAACTGGAGAGTGTACTCCATGTCAGGAGCTGGGCTGAGGGGTTCCTGGCTGTGATACCAGGATTTCTCCGTAAAGCAGCCATTCCCATTCTGGTCCACACTGAGTAAGCTGTTGAGCTGGGATCAAACCCTTGCTTTGTGCTTCAGCCCAGAATCAGCTGTTATCAGCTCCATGCGTTCATGAACTACGACGCATTCTTCTCCCTTGAAAATGAGTACAAAGAGGTACAGAGGTCAGGTGGCTGCCCAGGGGAGTTCCAGAGCCCGGACCTTCCCAACTGCCGTTGCGCCCCAAGCCCCACGGCCTCAGTGACGTCCCCTCCACGTGGTCTTGCACTTGAGAAAACAAGTTGTTAACTATTGTGTGTGGAGTCTTGTTTTACGACTAGATGCTCATAACTGAAATATCTTCTTCTTGTCATTACTATTCCTTGGCAGTTTGCAGATTCATTTAACTTCAATCCCCACAAATGGCTGTTGGTGAATTTTGACTGCTCTGCCATGTGGTGAGTTTCCCCGTTGGCTAGATGTCAATGACCCCGTGCCCCCACTGCACTTGACAAGAGTGGCTTTCTAGAGAAGAAGCCTGGCAGGGGAGGATGCCATCGCTGGAGGAGCCCGTACATCCCCCGCGTACTGCTCGCCTCCCTTCTGAGCCATGGGTGGGATTCTTGCTAGATCTTACCCTGGTAGTACTCTGTTGACCAGAACATAGTACGCAACATAGCCGCACAAGAAGCCAAGGGTAATACAGAAAGCTCGCTCGCTGGCTCTAGCTAGCATTAGCAAAAACAACGCAAGGAAATTGCAGGGCATATTTCTGATTTGGTGGTTTCTGTGTTTCCATTCTTAGGTGTTTAACACATCTAACCCTCAGGGCTTAAAAGCATTTGCTAAGGAAAAATAAGAGTAATCCTATTTCCCACGAAGTTCCTGAAAATTCTTAATAGCAGAGCCATAATTACGTTGGTTATATTTAGGGCAAGAAAAATAATTCAGAAATTTAAGTGGATGATATTCCATTGCGTGGATGCTGGGTGTGGTGTGGGAAGAGTGGAAATTGGGTCTGCTACATTCATTACAGGAAGAAAGAGGTTAACCTTAAGACCGGGGTGCTTTGCATGAATTTTGTGCAAAATCGTTTAGCATGTAATTGAATGAATGGTTTTCCACCTTGGAAGGGTGAAGAAAGCAGTTCTCACCCACCCCACCCAAAGTCTGTTCTTCCAGTTTACTGAGTGATCCGGGCTCTCTTTAACTATTTTGTCCAAAGATAAAATCACATTTTCAGTGCTTTACTAAAAAATAAGTTCAAATCAGTTCTTGTTTTTTGTCAGCCTGTGACCCAAACTTTGGTATGTGATTTTAAAGCCCCTTTGGATACGAGCATTCCAGACTTAGCTCTGTCCGAAGTACTAGTAAGGATCTATAAGCTATAGTTTTTATCAATGTCAGTATTCTTTTGTGTTCTCATGGCTACGTTTGTCTATTTCATTTAAAGTGGAACGCTTGAAGAATAACTCATGCAGGGTGTCAGAAAGTCCCTTTTTTCGAGCTTTAACTGAGACTCAAATATAATTCTGTTCTGCTGGTGTACTTGGTCAGATTGTGGGTCCTGGGCATGGAGCTGGTGCAGAGCCTAGAAGGGGCTCTGCCGCCTCTGTTTGGGGAGGGGTAGTGGCCTCAGTGTGAGCTGACGGGGGAGCCCACAGGGTCCTTAGCGGCCAGTGAGGTGTCAGGCCAAGAAAGCCACCCAAACAGTCTGGAGGGTTGTCGGGGGTGAAGCGATGGGGACGAGGAGGGCTGCTGGGCGGTGGTGGCCAGAGGGGCTCATGGTGTGCCCAGATATTTCACTCCTTACCTGGGCAAAATACTCCTATCAGACACAGATGTTTAGGGGCGCCTGGGGGGCTCAGTCAGTTAAGTGTCTTGACTCTTGATCTCAGCTCAGGTCTTGGTCTCAGGGTCAAGCATTTGGGGCCACGATCTGTGATCAGACATTGAGATATGATAAGGATGAATACAAAAACGTGGCCTCCTGTCCTTGGGTCCAAAACGCCAGTGCATCGGTTAAGGGCGAGAGAGGATGGCTGTGTCCGCGGCATGGAGAAGGGTCCCAGCCCGTCACAGTGCGTGGTGTGACCGGGGCTGCCGTGGAAGTGACCTGTGGGAGAGACGCAGGGAGGCAGGGGTGATGCCATGTCACGGCGAGAAGGACAGAGGTGAGGCTTATTGCCTGCCGAATAAAATTCCATGTTAAATGTCAGGGCAAACCCCAGTGTTTGCAATTTTGCCCCTAGAGAAGGGCAATCAGTATGGGGGACCCGGGGGGAAGATGGGGGGGTCAGTGCTTGAAGAGCTGCCTGCCCACCTGCAGATTCAGAAGGCCGAAGGCATGAGTCAAAGTTTGAATTGGGATAGAGGATGTGCTTTCTGGGTCCTGAGCTGCTGGGGTCCTGGACAGAATAGCTGTCCAAGATTTCGAGGTGATTTCATGCATGTGGGGAAATCCATCCTCCCCCAAACCCCAGGGTTCATCCCGCGATTTCATAAACACAGAATATTGGTTGACGGCATCTGGTGTTGAAGGGTTTGCATTTCAACATGAAAACGGCTGCTTGTCAGCGTCTTCAGGCACTGGGCTAAGGCCTCTGGGACAAAGACAGAGACTTATTTCCTCATGATTCTGGAGGCTGGATGCCACAGACCAAGGTGCGGGCAGTGCTGGCTTCTGCGGACGCCTCTGTGTGGTGTGCAGACAACTGTGTCCCTTCTGGGTCCTCTTCTTGTGAGGACACCGGTCACACACCGGTCACATTGGATTAGGGCCCAGGCATTAACCTCCTTTTAAATCATTTTGCCTCTTTAAAGACCCCGTGTCCACAGGCAGTCACATCCTGAGGTCCTGGGGGTTAGGGCTCCAGCCTGTGAATTTTGGGAAGGGGACACAATTCAGTGCATAATGGTGCTCCCAAGGAATTACGAGATAAAACCATAAGGCTGACATTTTAGGGGATTTAAACCGGGTCAGCTTATTTTAAACCCTACATACAACCTTGATTATGCCACGTACTTCCTGATTAGCTTGTTTGATTCTTATCAAACTTAGGTTTTATTTTGATCTCACTATACCCAAGCACCCCTCCCTGTTGTTGTTTTTTGTTTGTTTGTTTTTTGTGTCTTCGTTGTTGTTGTTTCCTACAAAGAAATTGCTCTCTCCTTTTGGCAGGGATGATGTTTAACATCGCCTTGCTTGCACAGGACCCTTCCCCATAGTCATCTGCCCCCCACCAGGGGCTGCACAGTGGAGGTGTGGGCAGAACAGCATCCAAATTGGGGGCAGCCCCGTCCAAACCAAGAACACCAAGGAAGAGGAAAGGTCATGATTTCGTTGGAAAGCATTTGATTTTGAGCACCATGGAGCTGAGACCAGAGTGGTATTGTCCCTGGGCTCTAGGGGTCCCAGCCTTGGGACAGAGTTTCCAGTAAATGACATAGAGCCAAAGCAAAACAAAAAACTAAATAAAATCAAATATAGACCAATGTAGATTGAGGTCCAGCAGGGGTCACATTGGATTAGGGCCAATGTAGAGGCCAGAGGTTCAGGTGAGAAGCTTGGGGGGGTGGCCAGGAGCTGGAAGGTAGGGGGGACTGTGTCGGGGAGATGCCTCCATGGTCCCATTCATTCACTGCCTGGTTGCTGCAGACGGAGAGGTCACAGAAAGCCTATTTGGTGACAGGGCATTTGACAAAAGGCCACGTGAGGTGGTAGACCAAGCAGTCCATGTACCTGCGCTGGGGTTGGTGTGTGTGTTGGGGGGGGAGGGCCATCCATGCAAAGGCCCTGAGACAGATATGTGCGCAATGGTGAACTCAGGTGGAAGGCACTGAAAATCTTTCAGATGGTCCACATGGAATTAATTTGTTTTAAATCAGCTCTCCACATTTAGAATGGGCGTTTTTACAGATACACGCAGCTCTTTAATGTCTCACTAAGTAATACGAGCCCTTACAGCACCATTTCTGTAGGTCAGTGGTGTGGGACTGAGCAGGCCTGGGGGGGGACATGTGTCTTCCTGCCCGGCACAGCCCCTCTGGCCTCTGCACTCAGTCCTGGGGCCAGCCGGCCTTGTGTACAGGTGAGCGCCAGGCTCCTGAAGCACACACACTCTAAGGATTATACCTGCATGGCCTCTGAGCTGGTGCAGGAATGGTCATCCCGATTTTATGGATGAAGCCACCGGTTCTGCTTATGGGTACACAGCTCTCCAGGCCAGAGCCACAAATGTTTAATGGCAGTGCGGTGAAGTTTTAAAAGCTAATGCTGAGTAGGGGCGCCTGAGTGGCTCAGTCAGTTGGGCATCCGACTCTTGATTTTTGGCTCAGGCCATGACCTCAGGGTTATGGGATTGAGCCCCATGTTGGGCTCTGTGCTAGGCGTGGAGCCTGCTTAGGATTCTCCTTCTCCCCCTCCCTCTGCCCCCTCCCCCGATTCGTGCTCTCTCTCTCTCTAAAAAAACAACACACACACACAAAAAAAAACCTTGATACTGAGTAAAAAGAATCATATAGAGAATTATGAATCTCACAGGATGCAAATTAAGAATACATGCACGAGGGTGCCTGGGTGGCTCAGTCGGTGAAGCGTCTGCCTTCAGCCCAGGTCATGATCCTGGGGTCCTGGGATCCAGCCCCTTTTCGGGCTCCTTGCTCAGCAGGGAGTCTGCTTCTCCCTCAGCCTGCCGCTCCCCCTGGCTCTCTCTCTCAAATAAGTAAATAGAATCTTAAAAAAAAAAAAAA